TATATATATTCAGTTAAATAACTGGGTTTCTTTAAATAATTAAAGAAAGAAAGGAAAAAAGAAAAGTGTTTTAGTATAATATAAAGAGCAATTTATTTTAAATTTTTAATTCTCGTAAATTGTGTTTAATTCTGTTTTATAAGCATTCTTAATAAAAGCCTTTTTAACTCTGTTCTTTTTAGACCTAGGTAATCATAGGAAATCTAAGTATATAAGAACAAAACCCAAATTTGAAATTGGGTATCCTTATTTTTAAATTTGGTTTCAACTTTGAAATTTATTGAGTATTATGGTTCATCATGCAAAGTTAAGCTTTAAAACTTATTGAGTATCCTTATCACACTTGGAAAATAAATATGGTCGAAACTACAAGAATGTTGTTAAATTTACCGTGTTTCTGGTTCTGTGGAAAAACCAAGAGGCTTTGTCATTTTTGCTGAAGGGCTTTGATAATTATTTAGTCAAAATTAACAATAAAATATGGTTTCATAAACTGCTATGAAATTTAGTAAATGTCGTGAAATTCATTAATTTTATCATTTTATCATATTTCATTAGCCTATGAAATTTTAAATGCCTTCAAAAGTAGTTTTTTTGTACTTAAAATCTTAACTTACACAAACCTTTCTCAGTAAAATAATCAAATAAATAAAATTCATTGGAAACTACTGTATTCAACATAATTAGATACCCTCAATTTTTTTCTCTATCTGTATTTTTGTCTTTATTATTTTCCCATTCAAAGTTTTATTTTTGCATGCATGTAATTATTTTTAAAAATACCTACTTATACGAAAAAACTGTTGACAATTACACTCTCAGAAAAAGTGGCTCGAATCATATCTCTGTTTAAGCTAGTTGATAAGATCGTGTAATTAAGATCAAGAAGGATTAATTTGCACGATAATATGGTTACACTTGGAACCGTATCAATTTTGCAGATAAATTGAACGAAATCTTAGTGTTTAACTAATTCCAAAGTTTCTAATAATGTGGGTTCGAATAAAAATGTAATAAAAAATTTAAAAATGCGATAAAATTGTGGCACCATAAATACGTCGAATCTAACAGCATTAATTTCACATATCATTTCTCCATACACTGAGAAAAAAGTATGATCGAAAATACCAGAAAATGATAAAATTTACTGTGATTATATGAACATCAAAAAGCTCGGCAATTTTAACCGAGCAACTTTGGTGAAATTAACAAAAAAATAGGGTTTTATAATTTGTGGCAAAATTTGATAAACGTGGTAGATTTTGTAATTGTATCATGATACCTTAGAGCATGGCATGATTAACCATTTACTCTTAAATTAACTTTAAATTGTTAATTTATTTTTCAGTTTTGTATTTTTTATTTAATATGTAGTATTATTATATAAATATAATTTAGAAAACAAGAATTTCAGTCAAACCATACGAATTAAAAAATTACCTAATGAATGGTTTAAATAACGTATAGTTTGGTTTTTATTAACCAAAATTACTATTTATTAAACAGTTTTTTTTAACTTTTTTACCTGAAATGTCATTACCATTTAGTGCGGTAATTTTACCAGAGTTGTTTTTTTTTGTGCAGCAGAAGTTAAACTAAATTGGGAAACATGAAAAATTAAAATGACAAGTAAAAAAAAAATTTTTTGGCCGTCTAACATAATACATTGCATTAAAATAAAACATGTACTTCCTTTTTTTATCCTTGGTCATCGTATCTAGTTTATACAAAGTTTTTGTACTGGTGGGAATAAATTTTCGCTGGACGAACATAGTAGGCAAAAAAATGATGAATAAATTATTCTTTTTTTAAGAAGGAAAAATGATATTACATTTCAAACATTATTCAAAATTTTATCCAAAACCTATAAACTTAAGTGAACAGTATTGTTTAGTACTATGAAGTCAATATGGTTCCTTACTAAGGAGTCTGAGAGTCCGAGACAACTAGAATGGTTAAAAAATAAATAAATAAGTAGAAGAAAAAAAACTTTTGTGATTGAGAGTAAGACATACAACCGCTAAGGGTTCTGATATTAAGCTTTTTATGAAATTTACGATGATAAATACCTTTATGAAAAACCTTTTCTATTTTTAAATTTGTACAACAATACTTATATAAATTTTAAATGTATTACAAAGTATTTAATTCCTCTTTTATTCGCTAACATCTTTTGGAATTAAAAACTTTTCTCTCTACTACGATCATTGGATTATTGTTTCATTTTATTATTTGAAGGAAAAAAAGTATATGCTGTTTAAAAGTATATATGCAGTTTCACGCCCGCTATTTTAAATCTTAATTAAAACAAGGGCAAAAGTGTTAACGCACCAATTAATTCAATAATTCCTTAAAATAAATCTTTAATTCCTTAAGTGAGCTACCAAATATGATATTCCTGATGGAAGTTTTAAAATTATTGTTTTCAGCAGATGATTATTTAAATAGATTCATTCTTCATTAAAATAAGGAAAGAAAAATAAATAAATAAGGAAAAAAAATCACTTAAAGTAAAAGAAATAAATTGTTTTTTTATGTTTTAATTAAAAAAAACTCCTTGCGTTGCAAAACCTATTTTAAATCAATTTAGTTTTTATTTATTTTCATAGTTAAATATAAATAAATATATATTTAAATAGAGTAGTTAATTTGATACCAGGAAATAGTTTATAAATTTATCATTGAGTTAATCGCTTGAAAATAATGTATCGCCTGCTGCAGAAAAAATTAACACCGTGAATCTTTGTAAAACTGCGTCTGATTTATAGCAATCTTTAATCTGTCTATGATCTTTTATATGAGCTATTAATTATGTAAGCTTTGAATAATTGTTAAAAATCAATAATAAGCATTAATTGTAAAAGCTTATAAGTAATATTATGATACATTATGATTAAAAATAAGTTATTAATCATCAATAACCTCTGTTATTTTGATCTGTTTATTTGTGAATTTTTTGTTAATTGCTTTGAACAGTTTCGTTTGTTTATGCAACCTGAAGACCACAGACACGTCTTGAAGTTTCTAAACTCTTTTTTCTTTTCTTTAATCATTTGACAAATTTTTCTTGTTTTCATGATTTATTTCCATATCAATTTGAGATCACTTTAGTGTTCATTGTATTTTTAGAAACATTTGAAAATTATATATTGCACATAATATACATAATATATTAAAATATATATTTTATATATTTAAATATATATTTTATATATTTAAATATATATTTTATATATTATAAATATCTATAATAGTATATGCTTGAAAATATATACCATTTTCAATATGCTCTCTCTTGTAACGATATTTTACTTCATAATTATTATCGCTACAATTAAATTATTAGTTATATAAAAATATTAATATTTTTTGATTTATTATTTATATATATATATTTTATATTTCTTGCGATTTTTTATGTTTTTTAATATATTTCTATATTTTTTATGATTTGTTTTTTACATAAATTGAAGTGCTTTAAATTAAGAATTCCTGAATTTATATTTAAACAAATGAACTGAATTTCGTCAAAATAAGCTCCATGAAATTAAAATAATTCTAATAGTATTTAAATAAAACGAAACTCAAAGCACAAAACATTATGATACATTTATTGAATAAAAAATCTTGGCACCAACTATATATCATATAGCAACAATAAATTGCAAGTAACATGTTAAATGAATAACAGATGATAATTCACTAATTCACATAAATCAGTTAAAACATTAAATTCACATTGAAGTAAAAGTGAAGTATACATCACAAATATTTCTGCGTCCAACAATCTTGTGACCATAAAACAATTCAGAGCACTTCTTTTAGCTAAATGTGACTAACTAAAATTACTATATAATTTAAAATTTCAGCTCATTACAAATTATTCTATTTAAAATGCGTAAATACTTGTTTTAATCAATCAATATTTCATAAAGTCGAAAAAACAGTGAAAAATTTAATGATAAATTATTAATTTTCATGTATTTTTGTTTTTATTTCGTGATCAATTTTTTACGCAAAATAATTTATCGAGTTAGCCATTGAAAATAAACGAGGATAATCAAGAAAAATAAAATTACAACATAGTGAGAATGTATTGTGTCAAAATAAATGTTCTTTGATGAAAGCTAGAATTACAGTTAGTTAAGCATTAATTATTTATAATTAATATTATTCGAGTGCTTTATACCAATTTTTTATATTCACTATTGAGATTAATTCATTGAAAATAAAATTTCGAAATTATTTAAAGATTCAAAGTGTAAAATATGTTCTTCAAAAAAAATGGAATTTTAAGTATAGTTATTTTTTATGGAAAAAAAACCGTGGAGCTTAATCTTTGCTTACGCAATTTCACGGTTTTCTTTCATTACAAATTAGTGCAATTTCTTCCCTCGCGGATTATTTTTTCTTCTAAGATTACCAGTGAATGACCTACTTAAAATCTGACATTTGGCCCAGGTATTTAGCATGCTTATCATGTTTTATTTAAAATATGTAAGAATATGCTTTTTGATAAATAGTTGAGCTGAAAATAAACTTTATCATCATTCTTTACTTAAACGTGTCGGCTTTTTTGATGAAAAATATTTTTTCTTGCTCATGACGGGTTTCTTGCTTGATGTAGGTTGATTTGGCTTTTCGAACTGGTAAAACAGCTGAGAATTTTCGCAAACAACTTCTTCCTTTTCTCGACATGCGCCTGTTTGTTGATCAAAAATAGTTCCACTAGCGCAATGGACTTTATAGTCCAATACTTTATCTTTTCCTAACAAAATACAAATGTGGAACATTTGACATTTGCTTTCTAAATCGGCATATGCTGCTCCAGGTACTTTATCGTCGCACGTGAAGCCTGAAGCATTTTCTTCTGTTAAGTCTTGAGTTTCTCTTTTGCTTCTGGGTTTGGCCTGGTCACTGGCTGGTTGTTCATCTTCATAATCGTATTCGTATTCGTACTCATAGTTATAACTGCTGGTGCTGGTAGAAACAACAGTTCGAGGAGTTGGTCTAGCTGGCAAAGCGTTGGCTGCTGCTGCAGCTGTTTGTGGTGGCCTAGCTGCCAAAACTGGTGATCTAAAGGCAGGTGGTGCAGGTCTTGCTGGTACTGCTATTGCTCCTCTTACAGGTAAAGGTGGTTGAGGAGGTGGGTTGGCACGAACTGGTACTCTTGCTGGAGCTGGAGCTGCTGTAGTAGATGTAGGAGCTTGTTGACCTCTAAATTGATTGCTACCACTTCTAAATCGATTATTTCTTGGAGGTTGGGTTACTGGTGCGGGAGGAGGGGGTGGTGGAGGTGCAGGAGTGTTTCGACTACGTGTTCCGGTGTTTTGTCGAGCTGGTTGAGGTTGAGGTCTGGGAGGTGGTGGAGGAACATAGTTTTCGTAATCATCGTCAGCTTCATAGTTTGTACGTCTATTATTGCCATTTCCATGTGTAGTAAATTGAGAAGTCAAACGACAATCGACTCTTTCATAAGGAGTGCAAACTTTAGTTGCTTGACTGAAAATAGTACCATTAGGACATACAAAGCTGATAAGTGACAGTCTGTTATTCATTCCTGGTATGCAAACATGGTATACTTGACAATGAGCTTCAGTATCAGCATAATATTCACCAACATTTTTATCATCGCAGGTGAAGCTCGTTTTAGGTATTTCATGGACATTGTGATTAGGTGCCTGCCTTTTGTTCCTCTGAAAGATATAAAATTCCAAATGACTCACATAATTATTTCCTAAGTACCAAATTTTACACAAATAACATTTCCAATAAAATTTTTCCATTAAAACTTTAGAGCAGTTTTTAGCAATAAAAATTATTAATCAAGTTAATTACAACTGCAGAGTAATATATTTCACTATTATTATCATAACAGTTATGTTCATGATAATTCTATTAGCTGATGGAATTTCTCTGATCAATTTAGTATGTATGTAATACAGAACTATTGAGATAAAATTATAGCACTGTTTTTTAATTTCTTTAGGATTTAAAATTCCGACGATATAAAAATACGTTTCCACGAGGCATTCTCTTTTAGACTCTGAAACTCTTTTGAGCAAAATATAAATTGTGTTATTTTTTTTTTTAAAAAAAAAGAAAAAAAAGCATCGTTTGACGTTTTTCTTTCTGTAAATTTTTAATTATAACATAAACTCAGAATATTATGAGACATCTAACTGTGGGCTTCGAAGGTATTTTTAAAAAGTACTAAATTAAAATAAAAAAAATTGTGAATATGACATTCAAGCACTTTTTAACTAAGTGTTTTTATTGATAAAAGCAATTTAAATCAACACATAAAAATGATAGAATAATAAATAAAATTTCGTCTGAAATAATTCTTTAAATCAAACTTATTTTAATAAGAACTGTCGCATAAATGATACTTGCTTCGAAAAGTATTAAAAGTTCCCCAAACAATAAAAGGATAAATGCAATAGCGGAAGAATTACCATAGAAAGCGAAACCATTTAGGGCTATAAAAAGGCAAATAGGAGTGTTCCACAGACTACGTCCCACATCACATAAATCAGTTCACATTCGAATATTTAAAGTGAATATAAAGTCACACTAAGAAGAATACGAATATTTAAGCTATGGTGTCTTCTTTTTAAAATTACATGAAAATTATTTATATTTTTTTTCAGAAACTGTCTTTCAGATTCTAAATACTCAGACGGGAAAAATGTGATAACTTAAATATCATTCAGCAAAAATTAAGTCCCCTTTTGTAATGAAATTAAAGTAGCACAAAAATACCTTTATTAGTTGAACATTTCGTTATTTTATTAACTATTAACATCTTATATTAAAATTTAAATTCTTATCAGTTAAATTTGTTGCGCAATTTTTTAAAGTTTGCGATATGAAAGATTATTGTAAATGGGAAACAATATAGAGTATTATTTGATTAAGTTTCCTTTGACTTATTTATCCCTTACTAAAAAATTTATTGGTCATATTTTAATGTTAGAAATACCAAAAATATGTAAATAAATCATAAGTTCTTAAATTCTGAAAATTAAATCATCCATCCTGTAATCTGTAGAAGCTGATATAACATGATAAATATGTAATACGTGTGAAAATTAAGTTCGCACATTTATGTAAAACGTTATTTTAACAGATCAAGAAAGCATAATATTTTTATTTGCTAAAAATGGTTTATGACTTAATCACCAAGTAAAAAAATTAACTTATATTGATGGTCACATTTCAACAAATACGGAAAAATGATGTTATGAATGAATACCGTATCTCGTTATGAATGAATACCGTATAAGTTTAAGTAACAGATGAATAACAATATGAATACCATATATAATTAAATTCTATACAGATTAAGTAATAAATCATTTTATTTAAAAAATCCAATGACATTTTGAACAGTTCGAAAAATATATATTTTTATGTGAAAATCAAATTTTTAACTAATGAAAAATACATAACAATAAGGGGCTCATCATATATTCCATGAGCCTTAACCATTTTAGGATATTCAACAATTTTAGCATTTGCTATCTTTTTTTATTTTTCTGTAATTGAAACGAATAAAATATTTTTAAGGAAAAGTATTTTTTGTAAGAACTTCATGTGACTTTTAATGCAAAACACCTTTGTGATCTTTTAATAGAAATATTGGTTTCTCGTAATCTTTAAAAAAAATTTACAATACCTTAATCCGATCGCATGATTTATGGTATTTGCTAAATTTATTTACTTGCGTAGTATTAAGTATTTAACTGAGATTTGATTAACCTGTCGAAGCGCAAAGAAATACAAAGAGTAGATTTTGCACTTATGAAACAATGACATAAAATGAATTTAAGACAAATAAAAAAATATTCTTCTGACTAATTAACTTTTTGATACTTTAATGCATAAATAAGAATCACCCCTTCTCATTTTAATTTCACTAAAAATAATAAATACTAATAAATTGATGCACAAATTACACAAATGATTTGTCACGCTACACTGGTAATTAAAAACTGACTTACAGACATACTGCTATCTGCTGCTATCACTACTGCAAGCACTGCAGTACCTGAAATGAAAGAAATTAAAATAATTTATGCCTGCATTAACATTTCCTTAGCCTACAAAAATTTAAATGCCTTCAAAAGTAATTTTTTTTTGCTTAAAATCTTAACTCACATTAACCTTTCTGGGTGAAATGATCAAAGAATAAATAAAATTCATTGGAAACTACTATATTCAAAAAAATTAGATAACCTTAATTTTTTTCTTTATCTTTATTTCTGTCTTTATTATTTTCCCATCTAAATTTTTATTTTTACAGGCATGCATTTACTTTTAAAAATGCCTATTTATATGAAAAAACTGTTAACAAATCCATTTTACACTCTCAGACAAAGTGGCTCGGATCATATCTCTGTTCAAATTAGTTGATATGATCGTGTAATTAAGATCGAGAAGGATTAATTTGCACGATAATTTGTTAAATTTATTTTTCAGTTTTGTATTTTTTTTACTAAATGTGTGGTAATAAGAACTATAATTTAGAAAACTAGAATTTATGGTAAGCCGATGTCCTATGAATAGAAAAATTTCTAAGTAAGAGGTTTCAATACCGTATATTTTGATTTTATTAACCAGAATTATGCTTTTTTTACCGGAAATGTCATTACCATACAGCACGATAATTTTACCGGAATTTTTTCTTCTACGCGTATTTATCAGAAAAAAGTCAGTTTGTTAAAGAGGAAATATTAATTATTTGTCTCAAATTTATTAAATATTTATCATCATTATACATTATTTATGCCACTTACTTTTTGAACGAATATTGAGCATGAATTAAATATTGAGAAATTACTGATTGCAGTAAATAAAAAAATACTTAAGCTAATGTGGCTTAATTGAATACGATAAATTTGATGAAAAAATTTTCCTGATTACTTTTACTAAGCTAGTGTCATGACTCTCAATCGAAAAAAATTTAGTTTGGTTTGACTATTGAACTTGTTTTATGTACGCATGATTAACTTATCTAACTTCCGGGAAAAAGTATAAGCCGATTAATTAAAAACCAGCTTCCGTGTCAAAACAATTGGAAAAGTTCAACTTATGTAAATACAACGTCCGAGTTCAAAAGATCATTGAAGCTTTTCAGGTTTCTGGAGGAAGTAAATGTGAAACTAATAGGAATGAATTTTTAAAAAAATGTAAAATATAATGAAATTATGTCAAAAAAATTTAAAAAGTTGTATTTAATACGAAATTGCTATAAATATGATCGACATTTATTATCGGCATATTTTAATTAACTGTTCAAATGACTGTTATTCGAGTTCTCTTTAATCATGTGAAATAACGCTTTTCGGCTAATAATATGCTATTTTTGTAACTTAGGTCTAACTGTTCGTAACAGTTAGACATAACTGTTTGCTTAAACTGTAAAAAATTCCGTATCAAATTACGGTAAAAAGTACAGGCATTCAAAGTGCCGGTGAATCCATTTTTACTGAAACATGTTGCGGAACAAAAATCTGATATACCGTAATTTTAACAGTAATAATTACCGTAAAATCACTGAATTACTCTAATTAAAAAATATTACTCTTAAAGTTACCGAGTAATATTTTACGGTAAAAATGATACACCCAAAGTGTCGATATTTCGTACTGCAATGTGAACCCGAATTTTTTACATCGTACGCTTCGTCAATCTCGATATCTAAGGACCTTCACTGATGATTAAGAAAATGGCACAATGTGCTAATTTTTTGATTATAAAACGCTTTTTTATATTTTGCATTATTAATTAACTCATATACTGAATTACTTGAAAAATTAGCAGAAATGGAAATGAGCAAAAATGAAAAAAAATTCAAGCGAGAATTTAGATTTTAAAATTTTTTATCCCCGACAGAGAATGAAATGTTTTTTTTTTTTAAACAAGAAGAGCTTAATATTTTAAAAATATTCAAAATATTTGTTTTTAATGTTTATTTATTTAATATGTTTTCTTTGTTTATTTGTTTTAAATATTTGTTATTGCCTTTTAAAGGCCTATTAATTTTTTTCAGTTAGCCAATATATAAACAGCATTATCTCCGTTTAAGGAAATTGTCAAAATGAAGGGAAGTCGCAGCTTTTTTTTTATAAAAATCGTTGTTTTTTTTTCCTAATATTTAATTCTTACTTTTCATTTCTTAGACTCATAAAAATATGCAAACACAAAAAAAGAAATATTCATGCAAAAATTCAGGTTTCTTGTACGGAGGAAATTCATTTACGGAGGAAAAAAAATTTTTTCGAAGAAAAAGTCAGACTTTTTTTAATATTTATCCTTTTTAAGCACAATCAATTCTTTTCAATTAGACAGTATATAAATGAGTAAAAAATCTATCAAATCCTGAGCTTTTTTGCATTAACTATGACTAAGTACTGAAAATTAAAATGCTAGAATAATGCTTTGAAAATTACGTATTTAAGTTTGAGGGTGCAAGTTTCTAGTTAATAAATAAAGCATGACAGCAGTAATAGACAGGAGCATATAATAAATGCTAGAACTTATTGACATTTGTAAAAGCTGACATCAATTCTAAAGAGTTTCACATAAAAAGTTTGAATTATAAAATGCAAAGTATAATACTCACTTTTATTCCAATTTATATCAAATTGCCAATTTATTAAATAAATCAAAAAGTGAAACTTACCTGATGTAAAAAAAAAGAATAATAATGAATTGATAACGGATAAGTTTATATTGATTTTGAAATAAAAATTCACATAATTGATGATACTCACATTAATTCTCAGCTTTCAACTACTTGCTGACTGACTTTTTATTGCTAGTGTTTATACCAAGCAATTTTTNAGCCAATATACAAACAGCATTATCTCCGTTTAAGTAAATTGTCAAAATGAAGGGAAGTCGTAGCTTTTTTTATATAAAAATCGTTGTTTTTTTTCTTCCTAATATTCAACTCTTACGTTTTATTTCTTGGACTCATAAAAATACGCAAACACAAAAAAGGGAAATATTCATGCGAAAATTCAGGTTTTTTTCAATGCTTTCATTTACGTAGAGAAATAATATTTTTCGGAGAAAAAGTCAGACTTTTTTTAATGTCCATTTTTAAGTACAATCAATTCTTTTCAATTAGGCAGAATATAAATGAGTAAAAAATCTATCAAATTCTTATTTTTTTTCATTAACTATGACAAAGTACTGAAAATTAAAATGCTGGAATAATGCTTTGAAAATTGCGTAATTAAGTCGGAGAGTGCTAATTTCAAATTAATAAATAAAATATGACAGCAGTAATAGACAGGAGCATATAAATGCTAGCACTTATTGACATTTGTAAAAGCTGACATCAATTCTAAAGAGTTTCACATAAAATTTCTGAATTATAAAATGCAAAGTATAGTACTCACTTTTATTCAAATTTATATCAAATTGCCAATTTATTAAATAAATCAAAAAGTGAAACTTACCTGATGTAAAAGAAAAAGAATTATAAATTGATAACGGATATGTTTATATTAATTTTAAAATGAAAATTCACATAATTGATGATACTCACATTAATTCTCAGCTTTCAACTACTTGCTGACTGACTTTTTATTGCTAGTGTTTATACCAAGCAATTTTTAGAAATAAGAAAACATTTTAATCACAAGAAAGTTCGTTCGTTTGCATTTCCTATTGGAAACTTAATAAAGTTTTTTTTAGATTTATAAATTATGTATACAACGATTACAATATATTTTCGTAATTTTATAAATAATTAAGACTGTTATAACTGTTTTTAAGCGATTTTCAACGGTAAGCCAATCTTTATTTTAATGACTATGATGAAAATAACTTAATGGTGGTATTTTAGGTATATTTGGTCTTCTTGCTTTCTTAATTTTTCATTTATTTTTTTACTTACATTTTTTGAGCGTACAACTTAAAAAATTCCGGATCAAATTACGGTATAAAGCACAGGCACTTTGGGTACATCATCTGTAAAATCCAGTTCACCGTAAAATCTATTTTTACAGTAAAATATTAAACCTTAATTTTTACATTAATAATTATTTGATTAGAGTAATTCAGTGATTTTACTGTAATTATTACTGTTAAAATTTCCGTATATCAAATTTTTTGTTCCCTAACATAGGCACGTAAGAATGGATTTTACAGTTAGAAGTATCAGTACCCTGAATGCCGGTACTTTTTACGGTAATTGTTCCGAAATTTTTTAAAGTGTAATCGTAAACCTACATATTAAACCAAAACAAATTACAGATCTTCAACTCAATCAATGTAACTGGTCAGGAAAATCTATTTAATATTTGATTTTAATATGAAAGGTTTTTCCTTTAGTTCAATTATTATCTGTTTTAACATATTTTTTTTTCATTTTTCAATATTTGACTCTGTTACAAATGCTATGTTTTTTAATTAAAAGTATAGATAATTTGATTCATAATTAATAAAAGTTATATTTCATCCAATTATTGGGAATGAAGTTTAATTTTTATTTTTATTTGTTTATAATTTATCAAGTGTACTTTTGATTTAATAACAATAACGTATTTATTATATCGAAATAAAAGTTGACTGCTCAAACTATTAAACTAAAACGTATATAAACTTTTTCGAAGCACACATGTTAGCTTTTAAAAATTGTTAAAGTAAACAATGACCTAAATGCTTCTATGCTACTCCAAAAATCAAATAATTTATTTCTTCATTATTAATTCAATTTAGGTATTCCGTGTCATTTTCTTCAACCCTAGCAATTAGATCATAATTGCAGTAAGCCACAAGAAAACGTTTCAGGTTTTTAATTAATATATCGGCACTTTCACGACTAAATTGTAAAGGTTGTCTACTTACTCAGAAAAAGGGACACCGCCCTGGATTTCAACATCTTGGAAATTCTGGCAAGCTGAATTATTCTAGGAACTTGAATTAATGACACAGAGTCAACAAGAAGCTGAAAAGAATTAAAAGTATATCAGATTAAATAACAAGGTACGTAAAATAGTTATAAAAGCATATTCTTCAAAGGGGTCTGGGTCTCTAATTTACAATCCAGTGGCTTTTAACGACTCGCTCTCTTTTTTGGAGATCTCTTGGCTGCAGTTGGTTATAATTACAATTGTAATGCAAGCTTTTATTGATTTTAAGATTTGCTACCATGACTGAAAATGTCAAAAATCAAGTTTTTTCATTAATTAAAAAGTGCCAAACGGGAAAACGGGTAGTTAAAGGACGCTGGATTGAGAAATCGCGTCCGGGTCAGTGATCTTTTAAATTTGTGTGCTGTTGCAATTAGTTTAAAATGTTTTTTTTAAGAAAAATATCTGTTGGGCATTTTATATTTCAAAATTTTAAAACAGGGATGATTTTAGTTTTTAAAATACCTAAAAATGGTATAGTTTAACCATGAATTTTCTTCATGTATTTTTGCATTAAGCTATTTATACTATAATTTATGCAGTCTTTTTTACTATTAGCATTTATGGAACAAAATTTGAAAACTACAGATTTAATAATTGTGTATGATTTCTCTTTATTATATCTTTACAACTTAAATTTCAAATTTTATACAGCTTAAATAGCTTGTATTATGCACGAGATTATCGGTAAGAATGATATAAAATTTAAATTATATACCGAATACCGTATGAAATTTTGAATTAACAGACTTAAGAGTACAATATCAAATGAAATAAAAAGAAATGACATGTTCTAGAAATTATCAGAATTCAAAATAAAATTTAAAAACATGAAAATTTGAATTTAAAAGAAATGTTCAAACTTCAAATTAAATACTCGAGATTAAATAAATGCTTAGTTCTTTATTATTACATTTAGTATTGCAAATCATTTTTGTGTCCTTCAAGAAAAACATAGAATAGTTAGTGAAGAATGAATGATTTTTTTTCTTAATAGCACCATGAAAAAGGATTTTTTTACCTATTTTTAATTACTGCCATAGTTTCAGAAATGGGATCAAGGGCGTTTCATCCAAAAATGTCTAAGAAAGAAGCTAATAAAATCGACTGAAATTTAATTTGAGACCTATTTGAGATTTAATTAAAGAGCCTGACTGTCAAATAATAGTAAATGTGCCTTCTAAATTCGAAATCAACACCAAACAATTCAAGCCTGACCTTACAACTATCTAAATTGTAACTTGATGTATAAAGTTTGTTAATTGTTTTCCGAATTCTTTTTAAAAATTTTTATTAAGAATGTGCAAATCTAAACGTATAAAAAATAAACAAATGTTAAATATAATCTAGTGCTAAATTTCAGAATTAACTCAATTAAGGAAATAAATTACGCCAACTCAAATAAAGAACAATGCACTTTTTCAAATTAATAATATCGCTACATTTTACTTTTAAATTACGGGATACATATTGTTATGTTTCTAAATATGTAAACAGAATCTAGTTAATGTAGTATTACTATGATTCAGTTTATTTTTTTAAATTTTTAGTAATTCGTTCAAGTACGAAGTAAAATTACCGTACTGCATGAAAATAATAATTCTAGTAGTAAAAAATAAATAAAATATAATTTTGATTAATAAAACGAAAATATACTGTATTAAAACCGCTCATTGGGTAATTTTTCCGTTTGCGTAATAACAGTTTACCAAAAATTTTGGTTTTAAAAACTATAGTTCCTATTACCACACATTTAGTAAAAAAAATACAAAACTAAAAGTAAATTTTACCAAATAAATGGTTTCTAAGCTCTACTTTAAGGTTTGATGTAAATTACTAAATCTTACCACATTTACCAAATAATGTCACACATTCTAAAATCTTGTTGTATTGTTAATTTCATCAAAGTCATTACCAAAGTACTTTTGTAAAAACTACCAAGCTTTTTGGTGTATCTATAGATCCAGAAACACGGTACCATATCCTGGTAGTTTTAATCACAGTTTTTCTAAGTGTGTTATTACAAATAAGATATATTTATAAAATAGAATAACTAATAAAAAATTCATTTCATTTTTTTCATTTTTTAGAAATATTTTTAGGCAGTATATATTAAGCTTTACTTTTTAACAAAAATAAATGACTTACCTTTAGGCATTACTACGTAAAAATAACAAACTAATTTTACCTTTTATTGTCCACGCTTTAACAACAACTAACACTAAGTAAAGTCTATGATCCGTTTATGGTATTATATTTATTTTTACAAAACTAATTCATTTGTACTAAATAATCTCATATATTAGAAACAATTCGGGTGAAGACAAGATATAATATTTGCGAATGAAACATATCGTGACCTAATGCAATTTGCTATCTAGATTAAATAGGAAGAAATAACCTCTGGATGTTGAACTCGGCCTAAAAACATAAATATTTATTAGACACTAATATTCAATGCATTTCAATAAAATATGAAACAGTTCAAAATCATATGAACACATTTCACATTATTTATGAGCCAGTTTTTGGGAATGTAGTAAAAATAAAGCATGCAATGTTTTAGTTGAAAAAAAGTACTACTTTTGTCTTGTTTCCAAACACGAAATTAGAATTATATTTTTCATTCTAAATATTCCTACTTAATTTGATATATTTAGTTATATGCTTGTGTGAAGCATGCATTACATATTAGCTTTAAAACTATTGTCTTACCTTAATTTTTTATTAAAAAACTTATTATTTGCTTTAATGAATATGTTTTTGGTTTGGTGAGACTCTGTATCACGACTACAAGTCTAAATAAGTTGCAATCATAATGTTCTTATTTATATTTCTAGCTTTGTCTGAAATTGATTATCAAAATCTTTTCTATTGGTTATTTGTCTTATTCTAAGCTAAGAAAAAATATATAATCAAAATTAATAGAATATGGTAAAATTTAAGACATTTCTGGCTCTAGAGAAATACCTAAAAGGTCGGTAGTTTTTACCGAAGTGCTTTTGTAAAATTAACAATAAAATATAGTTTTATAACGTGATAAAATTTTATATATGTTCTGAAATTTTTCAGTTATATCATGATACTTTAGAGCATGGTATAAAAACCATTTATCAATTAAAATTTATATTTCAGTTTTTTTTCCCAAAATGTGTGGAAATTACAATTATAATTTTGAAAACCAGAATTTCCCATTTACCGCTACCATGTGAACAGAAAATTCTAATGAATGGTTTAAATACCGTATAATTTGATTTTACTGATCAGAATTATAGGTTTTTTTTTATGGTTTACTCATTACCATACAGTGGAGTAATTTTACCAGAATTTTTTTCTCCGTATGATGTTCTTAGTAACAAAATACAATTTTTCTTAAAAACAGTTCAGACATAGTTTCGGTCGGGATCCATAAAAAAGAACACTGACACATGTTAAAACCGATAACTTTAATTTTCTTGATTATTTTCTTGTACATATGTGATCAAAATATAAATTATTTCTCTAAAATGTTATGAAAGTCTAATAATATTACATTAAGTCACATAGTTTAGCAGTTAAATGATTTATCATCGTTTCAGAGTACTCAGTTTTCGCAAAAATTGCTTATGTTTCTCTGCGGTAGAATGAATTTCATGTTATTCAATTACTTCTTTAGTGGCATGTGATCAATCAAAACCGCTTTGTGGATTACAGATTCATCAATTTGGTCTAATGCTATCTGCTGTGTATTGTATTGGGAAGAAATATTTGAAACAATTTATCTTCACTAAACCGTATAATTAAACAAAACATTTTTTTTTTAAAAGTAAGAGGTTTCTTTATGAAATAAGCTAAATATTTCCATTATATAGGGAATACATATGTAATTTTCTTTAATAAGAACGGTGAACAAAACATTACGTTGCAATAAAAAAATTTCAGTTGTTATTCTCCTACACAACAAATTAATTTATACACTTTGTATTAATATTTTTAAATTTAAAATGTGAACTCCCGTTTAAATTTCTAATTCAATGCGTCGTATAATTACATGCATTAACTAATCTACTAAAACACTATCTGTATTTTTCGAAATATGGTTTACAAAAATTTACTTTTTATTGAAATTTGCTGAACAAAAACTAAAGCTGACAAGTTTAAAGTAAATTTCTATTAGCAATGACTATCAACTACATAATTTGCATCGTTATTTAATTAATTAATTAAAATTAAATTAAACACTTTATTTAAAAAAACGTGTCTCTTTTTTTAGAATAAATTAAATGCATTACAGTGTATTTCATTTTATTTAATGAAAAAATAATTTAGTATGGTTAACATTTTTACTTCATACGATAAATCATGGTTGCAAGAATGCAATTTAGTTTAATATAATAAACAATGCAATTTAATTTAACATAATAATTTAATAAACAATAAGAAATATAGCAAACCGTTATCAGATTTAAATACCGCATGTTTTGGTTCTATCACCAGAATTATAGTTTTTACCATAAATGCTTTTACCCCACTGTTATAATTTTCATTCTGAAATTACGGTAAAATAACCGGCAGCAGTCTTTCTATCCGATTAACCATGAAGTTTATGGCTAAGAACATTTTTTTTTGCATTTACGATTTTGAAACCGTTTTCAACAGGTACTTGGATGGTTGGAACTTGGACGGTAAACTATACGGTCTTGTAACCATTTACAACTAGTATAGTTTCTAAACTATAAAAATTAAACTTAAACGGATATTGGAGCTCTGTGGCTGCTGCGTCATTCATCCGTGAATGAGGATCGCCGATTGAAGACTGCAGGACACTGGAATCCCTTCATGCATTGCAAAAATTGAAGAAATATTGTGGTGCCAATGCTGGGATTCGAACCTTTGTTCTACCGGTCATGAGATTGGCAGCTTATTTCTCTCAGCTACAGTATTTACACAGCTTCTCAGAACTAAATAGCTTCATAAAGCAGGCCAAAGTGGCGAGGATAGAATTCTGGTTGTTAAGCCATATTAAGCAAAAACAGCCAATAAACATTTTTCTCTC